CTGCTACTACTACTACGATTACTACTATTACTACGACTACGACTACTACTACTACTACTACTACTACTTCTACTACTACTTCTGACAGAAGCCGGTGTCGTCGTGCACCACGGCACTGTAAACCGCTCCGCTTTTTACTCGGGCTTTGGTAGCATTTGCGTTGCGCAAACACGTCTTTCTCGGTCTTTTTCTCTCACACCTGCTGGGTCGGCGGCTTGAGCCGGAGGCTCTTAAATTTTGCTGAGGGTTTACAGTTCAGGGTTTAGGGTTGAGGGTTTAGGGTTTAGGGGTGTAGGCTTTAGGGTTCAGAGTGCGGGAACCCGCACGCTTTGGTGCATCAAGCCAAGAAGAAGCCTGCATGTTCACCCCTAAACCCTAAACCCTAAACCCTAAACATTCCCTGCCTGTCGAAGTGGTCCAGGTGGATGACGATGACGGGGTCGAAGCCACTCTGGAGACTCCACATGCTCTGTCCTGGTCTGCTCTGACAGGTTTACAGGGGGTTTAGGCAAGGTAGTATAGGGGCCTTAAGAGTTAGAATAGTGTTTTGTTGTGCATTGTACTATTGAATAAGGAACCTACCAAAATAGTAGTGATGGTCCTTAGCTAGCAGCTAGGCCCTTATTTTTCGACGCTAGAGCTCCTATGGCAGTTTCTTCAAGTTCACGGTCAAAGATTGAAGGGTTTAGGGTTTCGGGTGAGCGACACAACGAAAACTGAGAAAGGTTGCCCCCAAAAAGGCGACTGAGCATCTGCGGGGGGAAGGGCATAGGCTTCCCATGGTCCAGCAGAAAGGGCTTCATGCGCTCGGGCACGTCGGGATGGAGGATGGGGCTGTTCTTGTACCGGTGCAGAAGCTCTTCTAAGCTCCTCATGCGAACATTCGGATGCACCACCATGGGCTTAGGAGCGCTATTTGCGCAACCCACGGCTCCAGGCGGGTGCAGCTGCATGCCATGGAACTTGCGCTGGAACTCCATGGCAGCCTCTGGCGTATGGAAATTGATGAATGCATAACCGAGAGAGAGACCGTCCTTGAACCGTGCAGGGAGATAGATGAAGTTGGCTGTTTCAAAGCACCCGTGCAGGTCTAGCAAGCTGCAGAGACCGGTGCGGTTCAAGTCCTTCGGGATGTTCCGCAGCACCATCGAGGTCTGGTCCACAGGGGTCTCTGCCTGAACACTTCCGGTTTTGGCCTCCGTGGCCTCTTCCCTGACAGGAGATCGGCATCGGCTCTCTTCGGTGTTCGCCCTCGAGATGCGCGGGAGCTCCATGTCTCTTCCGTAGATCTCTGCGACCTCCGCGGCCAGCGCATTCGTGAGCTGAGGCGAGGCTCCAAGCGATCTCCGATTAGGGGGATGAGAGGAAGCTCTCGTCTTCTGTGCCCCAGAGTCGATAGCACTCAGGTGGAGGAATGAATTCTTTACGCCGAGGGTGGACATCACACCGTCTTCCTCGGTCCGGCCGCCCGTGGCCATGTGCCACAAAGCCTGAGCATACACAGAGCGCATGTCGGTCTGGTGCATCGAATTCCCAAGCAGCGGGGAAGCCCGCCGGTAGCTATTATCCGTAGCCAAGGCAAGATTGAGTTGAGAAATGGCTGTCGGCTGTGCGACAGAGGCGCGAGTCAAGAGGAATGCAGCACAAACACACAAAGCTACTCGAGGATGCTGACGTAAGGCACCTACGTGGCACACAAGAACAGCACGCAACACTCTAAACACAATTATATATTTTATATTATATCTTCTATATATTCTATTATATATATATATATGTATGTATATATATATATTATATTATATATTATATTTTATATATTGTGTATTATATATGATATATTATATATGATATAAATGATATAAACATATAATATAAACACGAAAATCATCACTGTCATCCGCTCGTGCGCAGTCGGAACCCAAAATCTCAACCCTAACCAACCCAAATCCCGAAACCCGGAGCCCTCAAACCCCTGGACCTACAGCCGAAACCCCAAGAACCCGACACTTCGAAAAAAACCCGAAACCCTAAACCCTAAACCCACAGGCTTAACAACCCGAAACCTAAAAATCTGAAACCCTTAAGCCTTCGACACTCTCAGAACCTGGCGAACCTTCAAATCTAAAGCTTCAGGCTCTGGGGGGTTCAAGTTTAGGGTCTTGGGTTGAGCTTAGGTTCAGGGTTTAAGGTTTAGGGTTTAGGGCTGAGGGCTTTAGTTTTTTGCTTTTAGGGTTTAGGGCTTTAGGCGTTTAGGTTCGGGGTTTAGGGTTTAGGGTCATAGCCTTCAGGCTTTAAGGTCGAGGGCTGGGGGTGCCGGGTCAAGGAGTGAACTACGACTGTGCTGCCATCCAAAGCCAGCCCCCATCCTACGGCTGATGATATAAATCCTGCATTAACCATAATCAGGGATATACTATAATTCGTATGGTTTAGGGGTCTTAAGGGAATGCAAGATTTCTATCATCAACTGTAAGCTGCATCTAACTCCATTCTGCGGCCTGCCAGCCCACAGAAGTGCTTCGTTAAGGACTGACGGACGAGCACCTGCGAGAGGTGCTTCGATGTCGACGGTTTGGGGTCTTGACTTACTATTCTCCTAGACTCCTCGAAATCAGAAGATCTCCAAACATTAACACCGTGAAGCACACGGGCCGCAAGCTAACCCAGAAGACCTACTTATGACAGGGTTTTGCAAGACTGCACCGTACTGTACATACTAGCGCTTCAGGCTTCCATATCAAGGGGTTCCATGACAAGCACCTGGCCTTCGACAGGGCTCGCCTGAACCAAATGCCTCAATCCCAACTAACAAACCAGACACCGGCTGCAGTCACAGAAAAAGTTGTTTTTGCATGGGCAGGGTCCAAGTAAAAAGCCTCTCAGCACCGACCGTTCAGTGATAGAATACAAGCAGCAAACACTAACTAGCCCTAAGCCCTAAACCCTGAACCCTGAACCTTAAACCCTAAACCTTACAGCCCTAAACCGAGCAGCAGGGGGTGTCTCCTCTTAACTCCTGTTAAGAATTCCTTTAAAAAAGGGGGGAGAGTATCGAGGTTCGTTTTAAGGGTTCCCTCAACCCTAAACCCTAAACCCTAAACCCTTGACGGATTCCTTTTTAAGAATTGCTTTAAGGGGAACCGTATAGAAATTCCTTTAAGGGCTCCCCTGTTCGAGGTAGACCCTGGAACCCTGAACCCAAAGCCCCAAACCCTAAACCCTAAACCGTAAAATCCTGAAACCCTAAACCCTAAACCCCCTGAAACCCTGAAACCCTGAACCCCCTGAAACCCTGAAACCCTGAATCAGCTAGGCATTGGAGACCTCCGGGTCGGAGGCCAGGTTCTGCACAATGGGCCTTGGGGTTTGGGGTTTGGGGTTAGGAAGTTTTAGGGCTTTTTGGGGGGTTTAGGGCTATAAAGCTGTAGGATTTTTGGGTTTGGGGTTAGAAGGCTTTAGGGTTTTTTGGGGTTTAGGGGTATAAGGCTTTTTGGGGTTTAGGGTTTAGGGTGATATAAAGCTTTTTCGGGGTTTTTGGGTTTAGGGTTCTAAAGTCTTAGGGTGTAGGGTTTAGGGGTATTGCTGCCAGCAGCTCAAGTAGGAAAGCCCAGGGCCGGGGGGGGGTGTTGGTAGGTTTTGGGGGTGTCAAGGTTGCAGAGTTCAAGCTTCGGGCGTTCGAGTCTAAGGATACTTAGGGGTTTAGGGGTTTTTGGGGCCCTTGGGTTTTGTAGGGCGTACGGGTCCAGGGATACTGAGGGGTTTATGGGTTGAGGCCCCTTGGGTGTGGTGGGGCTTAGGTTTGGAAACATTTGGTCGGCCCTAGATAGCGCTTAAGGCTTTAGGGTCTGGGGATCAGAAATTCAGGAAGCAAAGCGTGCGGCAGAAAGTCTAGCTTGCTTGGAAGCTCTGAGAGGTTGAGGTCTTAGGGGTGTAGGGGTTTAGGGGCTTAGGGTTTAGGGGTTAGGGTTCAGGGTTTGGGGTGTAGGGTTTAGGGCTGAGGGTTAACGGCCCCTAAACCCTAAACCCTACCCTCATGCCGAAAGCCGAAACCCAAGGCAATGCCACAAGACGACTCCGGAGCAGTATCTACACAGTTAAAGGAAACTACAGGTGGAGAATTTAGGGTATATAAGGCTTCCATTAGGCTTCGATTATAAGGTATATAGACCTTCTATAAGGCTCCAAAAAAGGTAACTACCCACCTGAAAATGTCCTAGACACAGAGCCACACAACCTTCCTGCCTGCCTTAGGCAGCTGTGGAACAACGTTTCGGAACACAATCCATGCCCAGCAGCAGGAGGTACTGCACGGTGGCGTCATAGCCTGCCGAGCTTGACTGATTTCTTTGAAGCTCAGATTCAGAACTGGGAGCTTATAATACTCAAGGGCTTCGCGAGCAGGAGGGAAGCCCCTGCACCATCACGCCCAGGTATGTAACACTATGACCTACACAATTTGCACCAAGTGTGCCCCCAAGTATAACCTGAAAACTTTTCGTGCACTGACAAAGTGCACTGTACCTAAAACTATAAACAAAGGACCTATGCTTACTATGTAGCCTCTTGCGTGGACGCACAGTGCAGTCTACCTTCGAATGAGCTCAAGCCCAAACCCTAAACCCGCATCACACAGTGCTACACCCCTATCCCCAATGATGCCAAGAATAAGAAGACTATTGCTATGGAATAAATGGCTTTCGCTGTTTCCAGTGTTGTGACGAAAACGAAATCTAGGCTCTGAACTTTGAGGAGCCAAAGCATCGCGTCCGTTTACACCTTTACAGTTTAAATGCATTGCCGGATTCTTGCAAATCTTAAAGCCTTTGCACGATAAACCACAGATACCCGTGCACGTAAACTGCATGAAGGCCCTATGGGTGGCCTTATGGTTGCTGCTATGTTAAAGGAAACTACAGGTGGGGAGTTTAGGGTATATAGATATAGGGCTTCCATGGGGCTTCTAGAAGGTATATAGACCTTCTATAAGGCTCCTATTACGGTAACTACCCACCTGAAAATGTCCTAGACTATGGGACGTATAGACAAGAAGCACCAAATTGGGCGCGGGCAGGGCGCATTTAATGTATGATGATCTTGTCCCAGCAAGGAATGTGCAGGATGCAGGGCTCGGGGTTTGGGATTCCTGAACCCTAAACCCTAAACCCTAAGCCCCGAACCCTAGTAGGGCTCAGGCTGAGCAGGTAGAGCACTCCCAAAGACTCACAAAGTTCAGAGAGGCCGGCAGCCTACATCATGCGCACATTCCACGAGCTCATGCACGAAGACCAGCCGCTGCCTTCGAAGCCACCACTTCGAACGAGCTTTAGAGGGAGGTGTTTAGCGGCTTAGCAGTGTATTACGGGCTACACTACAAAACAGGACAAGGCAATATCGCTCAAAACGCAGGCTAGCGATACATTACAGCTTAGTGGCCACAGACTATGTCATGTTCAGCAGACATCACACCAAGTATAAGATGGCTCAACTGTCAACCAGTGGCGTTCCGAGCCCGCAAGAAAAGATAATGGAATGTTTCATGCTTATTTTTGAAATGCTTCAGATCGTAACGAAGTTGAGGGTTTAAGGTTTGCTGCCACATCCTTCTTTTCCGATACCACTGCTAGAAACATTGGCAATTACGGAATATGATGACCGTCACTATCATTGTTGCTGCTACGAGCATGTTCGTCGGTATTCGATGATGGCTGGGGGTTGTACTCTTCTCGACGCTACTTGTCTCACTGTCATGACTATGGTGGGCACTGCCGTAATGAGTGCTAGTTCCAACGGTACGACGAGCGTTGCTTCGATGATGCTTTCGCGTCCTTCCATTGTTGTCGTTATCGCTACTTATGGTACGGGTACTGGCACTGCATTCTTGCTGCTTTCGCTCTTAGCGAAAAGGGACGGTTTAGGCTCCTTTCTTACTGGTTTAGGGTTTAGGGTCTGATCCAAGGGGGTTTGAGTTTGCAATGAGGCACCTACAGTGTGAATCTGGGCTTGGTGGCTTAGTTCTGAACATGACGTGGACGAGCATCTACAGAATGACTTAGTCGTCTGTTGACAGAATGAATGAAAGCAGAACTTATGCCATACATCCAGAGCTGTACACGCTAAGCCCCAAAAACCCAGCACTCCGAGCCCTAAACCCTAAACCCTAAAGCCTAAACCCCTAAAGCCCTAAAACTGAGAAGTTGGCAAGGAGAGCTTGGAGTAGCCAAAACGCCGAGCTCGATCCTTGGAGAATGGCTTCGGATTGTTGCCCTATGGGTTTGTTATCTCGAACTTCTCAACGAAAAAACAGCGTAAGCTCTTGCTTTCGACGGCGGAAGCACGGAGAAGAACAAGAAGAAGAAGAATCAAGCAACAGTAGCAACAACAGCAGTGAATGAAATCCTTGACTCGTTAGTTCCCTGTTCGATGGCCCCTTCGGAATCCACGGGCCCCAAAACCCTAAATGCTTCGGGTACCTTCA